ATTTGATTTAGATTTGGGTAATACAAACCTTCCTTCTATTGTATGTCGTGTTTGATAGTTGTCAAATTATAATAGTAGGCTATGTACATTTTAATGCAGCATTGTACAGAGGCCAACACGCCTTGTTGACTTTCGGGCATTTTGAAGTTAGTCTGTTTCATAATTGTAAGTGTTTTGTGAGTATATTTGAAATGACTAGGTTTGCTACATGAGATAGCTAGCTTACAGCAGATCTGCAATAATATCGAAGGGCATCATGCAATCAAATTGTTAAAATAGGCCAATAAAACTTATATTTTTTATTATTAGTTTCTACTGACAGTAACAGTTGGCCAACTTTATAATCCCCAAACATCCACAAGTGCTCCGGTCCCAGCTGTGTGAATCACTTATTAGTGTCCTCGTTTCTGTTGTTTTTTGAAGTATACAAGTTGGAAGTATTATGGGCTGTAGCGCGTTGATTGGTTTAAATTGTGTACAATATTTTTGTGTTTTCCCCCTTCGATTCGGAGAAACAAATCGTTTTTTGGGAGTTTAGGATGGCCGAAGACATACACTACCCATAATCCTTAGCTATTGTTTGGGACTACAGTCCCTTTGCTTGACAAACCCTGTGATTAATCTTCAAGCTCTGTGATTGGATGTTGGAGTGGCAGTGTGCCAAGGTTACGCCGAGCGTCAAACAGCTCTATGAAATGGAATGAAACCACGGCAGACTATCCAAAACTGGACTCGAACGGGTCCAGCCCCGCTCCCCTCCACCAATCAATGTTGTGTAATTAACAAGGATAAACTGATGTTTTTAGTTGATGTGTAGGCCTACTGCAGATTACTATGCAAACTTCGAGACCGGAAATACTGTTTTCACCCCAAGCTGTTGCCTGGTAACGCAATTCTGTTGATAGTTATTGTTACGGTGTGCAGGAAGCAGGACCCAAATGCAGATTTAAGTGACAAAATAATTCCTTTATTTCAAGGCTACAAGATTCAGAGACAGAACCGAACACTCACCGCAGTTTACTCACAACACAAGACAACCCGACAAAGAGAGACAGAAAACCCAGAACTTAAATACACCCAGGACTAATCACATAAACACGACAGGTGAGGAGGGAGGAGAAAACACAGAGGCACCAGGTGAACACAATCGGGTAATCAGGGAGGGAAACGGACAGAAAGCAAACAGGCAGGAAACGGGGGTGAACACTTTACAAAATAAAACAGGAAACCCAAAGATAGAAAAAGACAAGAAAAACACCAACACAGACAGATCCTAACCGTACCCCCCCCCTCAAGGGACGGATCCCAGACGTCCCAAAACAAAAAAAAGTCCAAAACCTCAACAGGGTGGATGGAGGGGGTCCGGAGGAGGGACGCATCACTAAGCCACCAGGGTGGGTGGAGGGGGTCAGGAGGACGGGACTGAACTGACCGCCCAGGGGCACGGCAGAGGACCAGGAAGGGGTCTCGGGCGGACGGCCCGGGGGCAAGGCAGAGGACCAGGAAGGGGTCTCGGGCGGACGGGACGGGGGCAAGGCAGAGTCCAAAAAGGGGAATTCGGGCGGACGGCCCGGGGGCAAGGCAGAGGACCAGGAAGGGGTCTCGGGCGGATGGCCCGGGGGCAAGGCAGAATCCAAAAAGGGGGACTCGGGCGGACGGCCCGGGGGCAAGACAGAGTCCAAGGTGGGGACCATGGAGGGGTGAAGGCAGCGGCAGGAAGAGTCAGGGGGCCGGGCCCGAGGGCGAAGGCAACGGCAGGAAGAGTCAGTGGACCGGGCCCGAGGGCGAGGACCGCGGCACTCAGGGGGCCGGGCTCGAGGGCGAAGACCGCGGCTCTCAGGGGGCCGGGCTCGAGGGCGAAGACCGGACAGCTCCGGAGGCCGGGCAGGAGCCGGTGTCGACCGGACAGGATCCGGAGCCGGTGGGACAGGTGTCGGCAAGATTCTCCACGGAAGAGGACCAGGAGCAGGACGGCAGTCGTCGGGACCCCCAACGGGACAGGACATGGGGTTGGCAGGACCCCCGGCAGAAGAGCAGTCTGCGGGACCTCCAACGGCACAGGACATGGGGTTGGCAGGACCCCCGGCAGAAGAGTAGTCTGCGGGACCTCCAACGGCACAGGACATGGGGTTGGCAGGCCCCCGGCAGAAGAGCAGTCTGCGGGACCTCCAATGGGACCTCCAACGGGACAGGACAAAGGGTTGGCAGGAGAGTAGACGGCGGGACCTCCAACGGGACAGGACAAAGGGTTGGCAGGACCCCCGGCAGGAGAGTAGACGGCGGGACCTCCAACAAGACAGGACAAAGGGTTGGCAGGACCCCCGGCAGGAGAGTAGACGGCGGGCCCTCCAACGGGACAGGACAAAGGGTTGGCAGGACCCCCGGCAGGAGAGTAGACGGCGGGGCCTCCAACGGGACAGGACAAAGGGTTGGCAGGACCCCCGGCCAGGAGAGTAGTCGGCGGGGCCTCCAACGGCACAGGACAAAGGGTTGGCAGGACCCCCCGGCAGGAGAGTAGACGGCGGGACCTCCAACGGGACAGGACAAAGGGTTGGCAGGACCCCCGGCAGGAGAGTAGTCGGCGGGGCCTCCAACGGCACAGGACAAAGGGTTGGCAGGACCCCCGGCAGGAGAGTAGACGGCGGGACCTCCAACGGGACAGAACATGGAGTTGGCAGGACCCCCAGCAGAACCTCCAACGGACCAGGACATTGGGTAGGGACTTGAGACGCGACTCGAGAGGGGACTCGAGAGGAGACTCGAGAGGGGACTAGAGGAGAGACTAGAGGAGGAACTAGAGAAGGGAACTCAAGAGGGGACTCGCGAGGGGAACTAGAGAGGGGAACTAGAGCGGGGATTTGAAGTGGGACTAAAGGAGGGACTAGAGGAGGGAACTGGAGAGGGAACTGGAGAGGGAACTGGAGAGGGAACTGGAGAGGGGACTAGAGAAGTGACCTGAGGAGGGACTAGGGAAAGGACTAGAGAAGGGAACTCGAGAGGGGACTCGAGAGGGGAACTAGAGAGGGGACTAGAGGAGGGACTAGAGAGGGGACTAGAGGAGGGACCAGAGAGGGGACTAGAGAAGTGACTAGAGATGGAACTCGAGAAGAGACTAGAGATGGAACTCGAGAGGAAACTGGAGAGGGGACTTGAGAAGAAACTTGAGAGGGGACTCGAGAGGAAACTTGAGATGGGACTGTGGCAGCTGGGGCCAGAGCTGGGGCCAGAGCTGGGTCTGGAACCATGACTGCGGGGCCGGAATTGAAGCCAGAATCATGGCTGTAAGGTCCGGTTCTGGAGCCGGAAACATGGCTGTAAGGTCCGGTTCAGGAGCCGGAAACATGGCTGAATGGGCCGGCTCTGGAGCCGGAATTGAAGCCAGAATCATGGCTGTAAGGTCCGGTTCTGGAGCCGGAAACATGGCTGTAAGGTCCGGTTCTGGAGCCGGAAACATGGCTGAATGGGCCGGCTCTGGAGCCGGAATTGAAGCCAGAATCATGGCTGTTAGGTCCGGTTCTGAAGCCGGAACCATGGCTGTAAGGTCCGGTTCTGGAGCCGGAAACATGGCTGTAAGGTCCGGTTCTGGAGCCGGAAACATGGCTGAATGGGCCGGCTCTGGAGCCGGAATTGTGGCTGCTCGGGCTGCTAGCCTGGCCTTGCGACGACTCCTCTTAGCAGCCGCCTGAATACTCCGTGGACCTCCATAAGCCAGCCGAGTTCCGGAATACAACTCCTGGACAGGAGCAGGAACTGGGGCAGAAGCACGGGTTGACTTCAGGCGGAACCCACCAAGGCGTATGGTGCCAGGTTGGGAATTGGGAGACATGGAGTTAGCATGCCTGGGGCTAGCAGGCCGAGAATCACATGTTTCAAGGAAGTCCAAAATCCAGTCAGGTAAGAACTCCACAAAACATAGTTTCTCTGCTGCCAACCGGTGCGCCTCTACCAGAGCGGCCCTCTTCTGCCGAACACTGTCGCTCCCTTCCACCAATCGAAGCAGCAAGCCAGATAGAAGGTAAAATGCTGTAATTCTACCTCCCATGGATCATCTGCTGGGTCCATTTGTTAGGTCGGTTCGTAATGTTACGGTGTGTGAAGCAGGCAGGACCCAAATGCAGATTAAAGTGAAAATTCCTTTATTTCAAGGCTAGGTGATAAACAAAGACAAAACAGAACACTCACCGACGAACTAGTCATGACACAAGACGAACCGACACTGAACACAGGGAGAGACAAGACTAAATACAGGGAGGGGTAATCACAAGACGAGAAACAGCCGGGCAAGGGAGGAGAAACACAAGGGCCACAGGTGAAAACAATCAGACAACTAGACACACCAGGGACACTAACGACGGGAGGAAAAACACAGGGAAAAGGACCCGACAATATACCCAGAGGAAAACATGACAGGGAGAACAGCAAAACACCCAAACCAAGACATAGAAAACGTCACATAACACAATAATCGTAACAGCTATAATCCAAATAAAAACTCTCTCAACCACACAGTGTTAACAACATCAGCCAAGTAAAAAAGTTATTTACACAGAGGCATCAAAAGAGTGACCTTATCTGCCTTATTAATGCTTTCTTATATGTTTGTAGAATTTACCAATATGCAATCGCAGCAGCTGTGTTTCCAGTTAAATATTTCATATGTGAATAAGGCCTGGTAAAGATAAGATAAAATGGACCTTGAATAACCCCGTATAGAAATGCAAGTGTCAAGGCAGCAACAGAATGAGAAGAAAGCACCGATATTACAAAGATGTATAAACAATAAAGATGTAGGCCTATTAACAATAAAAAATAATAATATAATAATAAGCCTGTAAATTACTTTGTGTTTTTGAGAAATACTCAAAGGCCGTTGAGGACTAAATGCAGGTATTTTTGGGCTGATTTTCTTTGCCATCTTTGGCCCTCCTCTTAAAGGAAATCCGTAATTCCAGTGGGAGGGTTCAACTGTATTCAGACCTGTATATAGTCTATGATTCAGACCTCTAGAGATCTCTACGGACTCACTCCTGCACGACATGTAAGTGTTAACTGATCGTCTTGTCTCCATTTGTGCAGCTTAAACACCATGCGAAATTATTGCGATAGTGAACGAGCGTTGTGACGTTTACTGAGCGTGCAAATATCGCCATCAGCCGTAATGTTACACATATCGAGAGACACTGACGCGACAGGCTCTCTATCTCTCTGTTTGAGGCTGTTTGAGTTTCAACTGCTGTTGGAAACATTTCTGCACACACAAGGGCAGTTGTGTTATGATAGTGAAGATATAGAGAACCGCAGTGACGCATCCTAAAACCCGGATGTAAACTCCTTCCAGTTCGTCAAAAACGCAATGCAATTTCTTCATAGGATTTTGGAAAATAGCTCAAAATAAGGTCTGTGGTTGACACACATTTAAAAGACGGATCACGTTTTGTTCAGCCGGATAATATCCACATGTCTATCCTACTTTTATAATTTTCGAAGCATAAATCTAGTCGCAAGAAGCAAAATGCTAACGTTATGCTATAAAGGAACTACAGCAGGGTCGCTGCTTCAACGTCACGCCAACTTAAGATCCATATTCAAACATACAGATTGTAAATGGTACAAGTTGAAGTGTTTGTTTGAACAGTTTGCAGGAGGCAGGTACTTGCTTTCAAGCAGAACAGGTTAAACAAACTTAGCGGGAGTGTTTTACATGTTCGGTGTAATGACGTAAAACGGCCTGGACAACTTCTGTAGTCCTATTCAGCCACTTGTTAACAACCATCGTTTTTCAGACACGTAAACTCTTCAAAAATCACCAGCTGATGTATTTAATGTCGTAGAACAAAATGTGATCTGTCTGTTCAATTTGTGTCGAACACAGACCTTATTTGGAGCTATTTTCCAAAATCCTATGGAGAAATTGCATCGCTTTTTCTCGAAGGAACCGGACGTGGTAAAAATGCTAACTTACTTCCGGGTTTTAGGACGCGTCACTGCGGTTCTCTATGACGTGCAGCAGCTGGAAACATGCTCATGTTCAGCGAACCTAGCCAAGAATGTTAGCGATCCGCCAGAATGAAGTTCGTTTCACATTGGGAGTCCGCCCTTCAATATCCAGCAACAGGTTCAACCAGTGGACTGTGTAAATATTGGAGCCGCGGCTGAGAAAATATAAGTGTGTGTGTGTGTGTGTGTGTGTGTGTGTGTGTGTGTGTGTGTGTGTGTGTGTGTGTGTGTGTGTGTGTGTGTGTGTGTGTGTGTGTGTGTGAATTGGACCTTGGCACGGTTACGTCACCATACTCGGGAAGAAAAAAATGGAAAAAGAAAAATCTCCAACGAAGCGTTTTGGGGCAGCGTAGACAGGTCTTTTCTGTGTTAGAGTTTTACTCGCTTCAGGGTGTACTTTGAGGGTTTGCTTTGCAGATCGTTTACATGCATAAAAAGCTACATAACACACAAGGGGACGGGTAATAACCAGAAAAGCATGACATGGGACCTTTTAAAAGAAATGCGCTGCAGTTTAAAATACGAAGCAAAGTAAAAAACATAACACATGGAAATGAGCTGTCACATTGGTACAAAGGTTTCTTCATTTGCATGTGTTATGGCGCATTTGTGTTTTTATGTTTGCATAGTTTTTGAAAGTGCATCAAGTTTCTCCTGATGTAAGTGTTTTGGGCTTTTTAGCGCATTTGCCCCCGGCGGCCACCATTACTTAAATACTTTGGTACAAACCATTTTAGAGGTAAATATTGTATATTTTGTATGGATGGAGTTAGACTTGTCTTGTATTTAAAATTATTTCCAACTTGACCATATCTAACCTTTTAAAGGTGGGGTAGGTCATTTTGGAGAAACCAGCTCGAGTGCGCTAGAATTTGAAAATACATAGCCGGAAAAAATCTGCCACTTCCTTACAGAGCCCCTCCTCCAACACACACGAACGCGCACATGACCAATGAGGGCACGAGATAAGTTTGTGCACAGATGGAAGGCTGACAGGCAGGTAGGCCATCCAGTTATTTTAGCCGGGCTGGCTAAAATGATTGGAGCGTGCTTTTTACAGCGCCACGGCTTCCACAGATGACTTTTTTTAATGGATTTTTTGTCAAAGCACTTCAGATATTCATTGCTATCGGGATGTTAAGAGCATTCCATGCAATATAACAAAAAGTGTATCTCGAGCCGGTTTCTCAAACTTACCTACCCCACCTTTAATTACTGTTTGCATGATGATGCTTAAAAACAATATTAGCTTAGTAATATGATGACACTATAAAGGCCCATTATGACAAACGTAATACTTTGAGTACATTTATCTGATAATGCTTTGTATTTAATTAAAAACTGTTATTGTTTCCTATACTGTAGTATTACTCCTTTTACTTATGCGAATGATATATTATATTAACATTCCGGCCCTCTTAGCTGTTAATGGAAATATGTTGTGTTTTTGTGCCAGATTATTTGCCATGGCCTCTCCACTGAAGAGTCTGGTTATTGATGATAACAGGTACCAGAAATCCTTCCAGCTTTTTCTGGAGCGCTCCTCTGAGCATCAGTGTATGCAGGACTTCATCCACAACACGCTGCCAGATATACTGGCCAGGTAATCTGCCACACACACACACACACACACACACACACACACCACACACACACACACACACACACACACACACACACACACACACACACACACACACACACAACACACACACACAACACACACACACACACACACACACACACCACACACACACACACACACCACACACACTCACACACACTTTCTATGAGTGAAGCCACAGACCTTGCCATTGACAGTATAATAAAAATCATCAGAAGTACATTCAAATATATTGATGTACTCTTCTATACTAGAGTGTTTGCCAACATTTCTGCATCAAGTTAACTGATTAACTCTCTAAAATCAGTTAGTACAAAATGCAACAAAGTACAAAAATACCCCAAATTTGTCGAGAGAAAACAGTGACATGTTTATTTTTCCGTATTTTAAATGTTTTCAAAAATGTTTGATTATGTCATTTTTGTTTGACCCGTACATCATTCTTAGATTGTCAGAACTGTCAAACATTAATATTGGCTTTAAACAATCCTGTTAAAGTCAAACCGTAGTGATACAGTATAACTTGTTATTCAAGTGTTGTGATAATATTGTTGCTGGATAACTAAATTACCATAAGCCTAGAGAGATGTTCTTAACCTTTGAGCAATCCAGGGGGGAGACATAGAAAAGATGCATTATTTAGTAGATGAAGGCAGATTAGCGGAAAATAGAAGTGATTGTGATTAACACGACAGATTCAGAGAGGCTGATTATTACTAAGGAGGATCAGCCTCATACTTCACTTGTTTTTCCTTAAACTAAAAGTAACTTTGTGCTTGCAAGAGTGTATACACCTCCAACAATTACACTGTCAAACAAAGTTAAAGAAAATGCAGTGTGAAGACTTCTGCTGCAAAGGCTACGAACAATTAAGCAGTGCAGTGTCAGTTTGTTATGACTAAACTTAGAACCCCAAACATAACATATTCATATTTTATGAGTAGCTCCTGCCTACTGTCACTGAAATGCTTACAAAAACGAAATAAATGATTGCACACATGTACATAGCTAAACAAGGTGTGCATACAGTATGTGAATGACAAGAAGTGTATATAAAATGTCCCTTCTTAAAATGTTCTATGTTCATATAAGCTTGAGCCTGAGAGAACTCTGTGAGCAGGAAGCAAATCTGGAGTGATATCACTCCCAAGTAATTAAAACAGATAATAGTGTTATTAAAATCAGTTGGTGATTGACAGAACATTTCATAGGAAGAATGAAAGCCCCGAGCCGGGAGATGCTTCAGATATAAGAACATCTCGCGATGTCAGGCAGAATTGACGGTTACAGCCCCAATCGGCAGGTAGGAAGCTGTGAGTTTTTAAGTTGAGTTCTTAAGAAGTGCTTTTCTGCTCTCCCCTCAGCATTGGAGATGGAAAGTCCCATCTAAATGTCATTGGAGTTGGAAGTGGAGCTGGTAAGAAGACTCAGTATAGGACACTTTAAGTGCCAAACGTATCTTGTGTTTTGTGTGACTGAGCGACCTCTGCTGCAGACAGCGAAGGTGAGGAGGCGTTGTAGAATCAGCCTGCAGCATTAGTTCCTTTGGTACTGCTGTTATGCGGCACTAAAAACCTTTACCCTTATTATCAGTGGTGAGAGTTTGAACCCATCTACCTGGTTGTCAGATTAATCTTTAACCTCGGTCGTGGACGGAGTGACCTCACTAGTGTGTGGTTTCACTGCATTTTGTTTTCCAGTGCTCATGACACAGCAAGTCTCATTTGTTCCTGATCAAACTCACTACATGCACATGAGTGCTATTACCCTTCACTTATGTCGGAGCCAATTCCTTTAATTTACCTGAGCTGTCATGTCAGTGTCATAATGGAGCGGCGGTACAGATTCTGTGATGGACTGTAAAATCCATTAGAATGCCTACAAGGTATTATTCAATCTAATCAGAAAGATTCAGCGCCTGTCCACATCGGATTATTTACTTGGATGTACTCTTGTACATGGAAATGTGTCAGATTCAATAACTAGAACAAAATCACCTGCATGTGGCAAAGTTATATTTGGAGAAAAATCCTAGTGAGCTTTGACTCGAGGCTTTTCTGAGATTATAGCAACATCAAATGTATAATTTCCTGCATACCTGACAAGTACAACTGTTTGAAATGTGGTGACATGCATTTACTTTTATAATTGAACAGTTTGGCTGCTGTCGGGAGAATGGGTCGAGATTTTATTAGCAAAAAATGGGTGTTTTTCAAAATAAGAACTGTTGGCTTGTGTAGGTGAGATTGACCTCGAGATGCTCTCCCAGCTCCGTCTGAAGCACCCAGGGGTGACGGTGGATAATGAGGTGGTGGAGCCTAGCAGCACGCAGCTACATCAGTACAAAGGTACAGTCTTATAGGCACACACATATCTCTCAAACCGCACATTTATACTGTGTCTGTATATTCACATGCCCCCAAAAATGTGTTCCGATATGTAATTTAACAGCATAAAAAAGGCTATATATTCACATTTGTTGTATTTCAATGCAGAGAATACATTATATGTCTGCCCTTGGCTTTCCCACTTATACATAAATAATACAGTTATACATGTATTACAGTAGCAGGGGGATGGTCCTTTGACCACCAACCCCAGAGTCTAGCCCTCATGTCAGCAAGTATCCACCTTTCAGAATCTCTTTTTGAGAAAAACTGTGACCAGGAGTTTAGAACAACTTCTACTAGTTCTACTTCGAAATATTCACACAAACAAATGTATTCAAAATGCTACCCTAATAAAAGATGTAGGCAAACTGTGATCCTGAAGTTCCTCTTTCTTATCTTTTGTGTCCATCTCTGCTGCATTGAGTGCCAACAACTATTTTATTTCCTGTGGGTGGCTCAATTACTGTAGCCAAGAGTCTGTTGACTCAAAACTTTACCAGAATTAGTGTTTTCTAAAGCGTCTTGAAATCTTTTGTGATATCAAGACTTGCCCATGCTTGCCTCCTTCGCATCGGCAGTTTAAAGAAAAATCAATGTTGGATGGAAAAAGATAGTTGAAACTAAACTTATCACAAAAAAAGATGTGTTTCCAACAATGTGACAAGCAAATGTTATAGTCGTAAATGCAGAGACTAAAATATCGAAGTAGCAGAAAAGTATTTTTCTGACCTACATAAGTTATTTTATACTTTCCCTGTGTGGTTTAAAGATGTTTCATTTACACAAAGTAACATTGATTCTGTTTTGTGTCTCTTTATATAGTTATGGTGTCACAGAAACCAAATTTAGATCACATAAATGTACCTGGAACAAGATGACTGCCTCCGAGTTTGAGGAGCAGTGGAGAGTGAAAAAGATGACTAAGAAGGCTGACTTCATTCACATGATACAGGTCGGTGACACTGACGTGTGCTTCTTGCTCACAGACTATATTTTTGACACAATCTAGGTCGTATTCGCGCTCCACAGTAATTAATCCCATTAGAACATCTGTGTAGCATAGCGTTCTAATTAGGTGCTATGTGAATCCAGTTACCAGCTCATTATCTGTGGTGAAATATACAGATGCTGTACTATGTGAAGGATCCTGGAGCTACCATCGAGTTCTTCCAGAGCCTCCTCGACAAGAAGGGGAAGCTTCTTATCATCCTAGTATCTGGTGAGTGGATGGATTTAATCTCATATTATCCATTTTTTATATTTTCTTCTCTCTGATGGCAAGGGTTGGTTATGCTGTATATAGTCAGCACACCTATTTTCTATAGATTCAGTACAGTATTCAGGGAACACAATCATTTTAGAAATATATAAATATACAAATACCATAACTGTTGTTATCAGAAGTTGTGAAAACAAGAGAAAACCCTACATGCGCAAATAAGAATTATTGTTGCTTTCATGATACAGGGATACAACTTAATATATTGCAAAACTGTCAAGCATGGTGATAGATATCACTTGAATTGAAAAAAATAATAATAACTTGAGAAAAAACAGTCAGGGTACAAGGAACACACCATCATATGCATAACATCTAAGTGGAAAAGGTTTATTTTTGTAAGCATCTAGAAAAGAGGGATCTGCTAATGATTTATCACAGTCCAAAACACTACACTTTCTGTGCTATCTCTGCCACATATCTTTGCATCTTACAATACAAAATCAATACAGTGTTTGTTAAGAGTTGACCACTGTTACACAAATCATAATTGTGATCATTTGAGACCAATTTGCTGCTAAACTAATGATATTCCCATCAGTCTCAGCTTTATTTGATATTTAGTGCCAATTAGCAAACATAGATAGATAGAGTTGGAGCTATGAAACGCCGGGTTACGTATTGTAACCCTTGTTATATTAACACAGGCGGAGCCCTCTACTGGACTCTATGGGTACTACCTTATCATGCAAGTATTCACCTACTGAGATTTCTATAGACGTAGCCGGCCCCGGGGCGGGCCTACCTGAATGCGTGCGCATCTCACTTCCGTATAAATGGAGGCCTCGCCTCCTGACCAACATCCTACACCACTCTTCAGCGAGCGGTATAGGACAGACAGTGCCCCAAGGTAGAGGGCTCCGCCTGTGTTAATATAACAAGGGTTACAATACGTAACCCGGCGTTATATCTCTCACAGGCTCCGCCCTCTACTGGACTCTATGGGTACAGTGGGCGGAGCCCCGATGTATGCACGCACTGTCGTCCAGCACACCGTTCCAACCTCACTGTCCCTGACCAGCTTTAGCAGCCGCTGCGCCTCACCTCACCTCTCCCCTCGGTTGTAACCGTGGAGAAGTTCCAGGCTGCGGCCGATAGAGCAGACCCTGACGTGCTTGCCTCGCAAAAAAAGTGTGCTCGAAAACAGTGCTGAGGGCTCCCCTGCGTCCGATTATAGGCAGACGGGGAAAGTCCGCAGCTGTATGGGTTCACTATGCACCCTCTCTCCTGAGTCCCTAAAGAGCACGGGGAGAGTGCAAGTGCCCCCTATGTCCCCACACTCAGACACTGACCCCGTGCAGAGTGTGTACGGACTATAGTATGGAGGGCTCTCCCCCCCTCCTGCCCCAGGCAGGCGAGGGGAGCCCTTTAGCCCCTAGGGCCCAAAGCGCATTAACGTCACCCCCCGCGACTCCCTCCAGGAGTCCGGAGAAAGTAAGCGCATTTACGCCCAGGGAGGGATCAGATGCAACCCGGTATCACGGCAAGACGTGAACATGTGACGATTTACCATGCTGGGAGACGTGAACATGTCACGGTTTTCGTCCCCTTAAAACGTGACAGCTACACGGTATTGTTTAACCCATGTTAACCAGTGGAGAAATAACCGGAAAATACCAAGCAAATGCTCCCCCGACGTAATGATTTATTTTTTAATAGTCACACTCATTACAGCGATTTTCTTGTTGCCCCAGCTGGTCGACACCTCTTTTAGCATAAACAAAGGCTACATTAATGTATTAAATCGATGTTAATCATGCGTGTGGATGTGGAATTAACGGACGTGACGTTGTGCGATTGAGTTGCCAAGCAACAGCTTCGGTTCATGTTAATTTACAAACTATTCAACTACAAACCGTAGTATATTTAAAAACTGTTAGAGGCCTCACAAAATACTTTAATGCACATTAAAATGTAAATGTGAAGGAATGTGTGTATAACAAATAACATCGGTCATTAAACGAAACCGGAAACAGACGTAGGCAAGATCCTCAGCTCGATGATTGGATGGTTATCCGCAATGCATGCTGGGATTTGGGTTTATGTGATGTGAAATCTGAAAACGTTTTTTAAAAATACAATAATACTTTATTCCGAGTGTGCTTGCTTTACTCTTTGAAAGTCATCACATAACGGCTTTGTAATACACGGTTCGGCTGCATTAAATATGACATATCTGCCGTAGTTCTCTATTTATAGAGCCCTGCTGAGAAGACTTCTGGACAAACAGGAGAACTGCCGCCAAAACTGAAGATGTGACGTGGATCATAAATATATAAGCAATTAAACAACATCTTACATTTATTTTCACACAATGCGTCTCCTTGCAGTATCAACACTAATTCGGCTGACTTTTATATTTGATCCAATTGGTAGATAGGCTGTATTTAAACCATAACCGTGCAGAGCTGATAGAAAGGGACACCTGGTGGTCAAAGCACGTTATTGAATTTTATTATTTTATTATTAGATATTAATAGGATCTCTATAAAGTATATTCATTACTCGTTATTCTCTACTAATAGTTCATTAAAGACTGTATATAATGACTAGTTTGAACATCCCTTTCAAGATTTCAAGATTTTATAAGCTAAGTTTTATTGACATATCATATTATACACAACTACTGTGTAGTTATGCAATGAATGAAAAACTTGGGTCGCAGGTTCCTCAACAGTGCATTACAAGACATCTATCAATATGTGTGTATACTCCACCATTAAACTGTCATTCTGCACATTTCTTATACTATCTACATACATCTTATAAGAGTATAATACATATGTATAATATCAGTTTAATAATAAACAAATAATAAACAAATAAGTGCTTAAATAGTTAACATTGCAGGAAAGCAATATATTAGACGTTAAGTACTTTGTCAGGCTTAATATTTATCTGTAGATACAAAATGTCACTGTGTGTGCTGTGTGCTCTGCATGTGTGACCATTAAAGAATCAGAATCAGAATACCTTTATTAGTTCCACAGAGGGGAAATGTGCAGCGTTACAGCAGGAAAGAGCCACAGACGTGTTGCATATCTTACATGCGTTAAAAAAGTACTAAGTTAGAATAAAATAAACAATATGCTAAAAAAGTACTAAGTTATAATATATTAAACAATATGCTAAAAAAAAGATAAAAAGTTACATAATTTTCAAAAATACAGATCAAAAACAAAACGGCATATATATTGATTTAGTGGCCAGGTATAAATTACACAGTTATTAATGGCATATATATATTGCACATATAGCACATATTGCACAAAGTTGGTTTGTATTTAGCAGCAAGGGGTGTTATAGTCTGTGTTGTGGTGTGTGTAGGAGGGTCTACTAGGGGCAGTGCTGGTTGTAAGTCTGACCGCTGCAGGAAGGAAGGACCTGCGGTTTCAAGAGGGTTTCATCCCTCCATATTCTTCTTAAAGCTTTTTTCTTATTCAAAATAAGACCTTAACCTAAAGTACTCTTTAATGTTTAAATTAAGCCTTATTAGTTTGTCTGTTTTGCACATCCTCCTATTAATATCTAATAATAAAATAATACAATTCAATAACGTGCTTTGACCACCAGGTGTCCCTTTCTATCAGCTCTGCACGGTTATGGTGTAAATACAGCCTATCTACCAATTGGATCAAATATAAAAGTCAGCCGAATTAGTGTTGATACTGCAAGGAGACGTATTGTGTGAAAATAAATGTAAGATGCTGTTTAATTGCTTATATATTTATGATCCACGTCACGTTTTCAGTTTTGGCGGCAGTTCTCCTGTTTGTCTAGAAGTCTTCTCAGCAGGGCTCTATAAATAGAGAATTACGGCAGATATGTCATATTTAATGCAGCCGAACCGTGTATTACAATGCCGTTATGTGATGACTTTCAAAGAGAAAAGCAAGCACACTCGGAATAAATTATTATTGTATTTTTAAAAAACGTTTTCAGATTTCACATCACATAAACCCAAATCCCAGCATGCATTGCGGATAACCATCCAATCATCGAGCTGAGGATCTTGCCTACGTCTGTTTCCGGTTTCGTTTAATGACCGATGTATTTTGTTATACACACATTCCTTCACATTTACATTTTAATGTGCATTAAAGTATTTTGTGAGGCCTTCTAACATGTTTTTAAATATAACTACAGTTGTAGTTGAATAGTTTGTAAATTAACATGAACCGAAGCTGTTGCTTGGCAACTCAATCGCACAACGTCACGTCCGTTAATTCCACATCCACACGCATGGATTAACATCGATTTAATACATTAATGTAGCCTTTGTTTATGCTAAAAGAGATGTCGACCAGCTGGGGCAACAAGAAAATCGCTGTAATCGAGTGTGACTATGAAAAAATAAATCATTACGTCGGGGTAGCATTTGCTTGGTATTTCCGGTTATTTCTCCACTGGTTAACATGGGTTAACAATACCGTGTAGCTGTCACGTTTGAAGGGGACGAAACCGTGATATGTTCACGTCTCCCAGCATGGTAAATCGTCACATGTTCACGTCTTGCCGTGATACCGGGTTGGTCAGATGCCCACTAACCCACATACCCCCCCTCCTCACCAGTCCTGTGTTGCCCCAGCAAGCACAGACGCTGAGAAAGAGCCAGACATATCCAAGAGATAAAACGTTATGAAGGGGCCTGGCGTTGACCAAGACGCCGCCGTGCATATGTCCTCCAAACTCACACCGTTGAATAAAGTTGTCGACGCAGCCACAGCTCGTGTGGAGTGCGCACGGACCCCTGTGGGACAGGCTCTTCCTGCCTGCTCGTAGGCGTGTGCAATGCCTCCGCAAAGCCAGCCTGCCAGGTGTTTCTTGGACAGAGCTTTTCCAGTCACCCCGCCACCGAAGCACACAAACAGCTGTTCAGTGCGTCTCAGGGTAGCTGTGCGCTCTACATAACATGCTTGCGCGCACCGGGCAGAGGAGGT